GGGACGCCCCTCTGTGCCCGCCAGCGAATGTGCGGTGCGCCTCCGCAGCAGCCTGCGGCCAAGCGCGACTCCCTATGGAGAGGCATATGTTTTCCATCTCTCAAGCTTTGTGGTGCAGTGCATCCCATACCTCTTCTCTCTTTATTTGCCTTTGTTTTTGGTATGTTTTGTGTGGTTCTACGGCCGGATAAGTCCCGCGGCCCTCCCTTCCCTCTGCGCTGCTTGGAACGTGTGCGTATGTGATGGTGCGGATTGACGATGTGGTCGGAACTCGAGCGTGGCGGCGGGTGTGCTGAGCTGCACCGCGTGTGGGTGGACATCCTTCTTGGTTCGCCACGGCAACGGAACGGGAGGCAGCAGGCGCCTCTGCACAACGTGCCGCCAACCCGTCGCCGTCCTTCTGGCGCTGCTGGTGCGGCTGCCACGGGGCGCGGCGGCGGAGTGCAGGCATCGCGCGCACGAGCGGAGGGGACACACGAATTCGGATGCTCCCGCCAGTCACTCGGCAACTTCCGCTCAAAAGCAGCTGCTACTTTTTATATATTTTGCTTAAACCTAATGTGTGAAATGTAGAAAGCCGTGGCTGGGGACAGAGGCCTTTTTGGTACCACAATTACTTTTCATGTGTATACGAGGCTTTGTGCCTGTGTATTAATTAATCGTTTTCTTTTACATGCATTTGTTGTAATTCTCATGATAGCCCTCACCGTAATGATGCTGAGTGTGTGTTGGTGTGGGCGTAGGAGACCGTTGTTTTTTCCCTTCCGCGCTGTTTCTCGCGCGGCTGTGCTGGTGTTGACCTCCTTCCATCCTCCTTTCCCTTCTTGTGGGACGGCACCCCTCGCCAGCCGCAGACACACACACAGGCAGGCAGGCAGGCAGGCAGACGCAACGAGCACCACAGCGGACGTGGCACTGCGATGTTCCACTGTAACACAGAAGGCTGCGGCGCCTGCTCGGAGTCTGGCGTCGGCACGGCGGCGTGAGCGTGCGTTCACTCCGCGCTGCAGCGTCTT